TTTTTTTTTTGTCAAAAAAAAAAAAAAAAAAAAAAGAGAGTGGAAGATATGCTTTAACCTTTTTTAGAATTCACTAACCAAAGTCTTTTGTCAACCAACCTTTTTTTTTATTTAATGATTAAATAAGAGACTAATCAGTCGACTCTATGACTCAATTCAGTGATCATTAAGGTGGAATTTAGTGCGTTTCGACCATTAGACCAAGCTATCTTGAGTGCTAGCTAACCCTTTTAATTAAATTAGTTCATGTAATAAAACACAACATTTAGAGTGAATTATAATTTTTTTTTTTTTTTGTAATCGGAGGTTTAATCCCCTCAAATTGTAGAGCGTAAAAATTTTTAACTCTCGCAATAAAGTATATTTTCTAAAAATCGAATTTATATTCTCACCCTCACGAGGATTAGATCACTAATCACCTCAGCCCAAACAATCTTGGCAGTGAATTATAAACTTTCATACATTTGAAGTGACATTTCTTAAAGAACCCAAAAACATTTTCAAATTGATGTTGATGGTTAAATTCCCTTGCCATTAATGGCTAGAACTCATAACAGAAATGTGTTGGCAAATGTATAGGAGAAATGGTCACATTTTCAAGAGACATTCAAGTGTGCACTTGAGTATGTGTGAGGTCCATTTGCAAAAATATGCTAATTTCAATGAATTAAAAACCTATAAAAGGCAAGTCACTTGTCCCTCTTTTAAATGCCCCATTCTTGAAGCATCACATGGGTTTTGAGTGTCCCAAAGAGTGAATAATTTAATTTACATAATTAATTGAGTGGTATATATAATTAAGGTTTGTTTAATGAATCCTTAGGTAGTGCCACCTCAGATTGTTAGTACTAGTTAAAATTTTATTAGTTGATTAATTGTGATTGGCTCCAACATGATAAGTCTTTTCAGGCTCTTTTTAAAAAATTGCAAGTGTGAATCTTTATATTTAAGAATTTTTATCAGTATGATAAAAGTAAGAGTAATAAAAATGAAGAATATGTATAATTAACTAACAACATTAAAACTTATTCAGTCTTTTTATTAGAAACAAATCAATGTATTTCGCTTTCATCACATTTTATGCAATTTTATAATATTATTTCATTCTTATAAATTTAGTTTTTAATTATTTTTTACCATTTGGGTGAGCAAGTGGAGGACTATCCATATTGTGTAACTCACAGTATTATTTCAGCCCATTAATCATCCAATGGATTAAAAAAATTAATCTTTATCCTCTATGGATCAAGATAGTTAAATTAAAGGTTATAATTTGCAATTATATTTATATTAAAAAATTAAAAATTTTATAATTAAGAGTTATGAAAGAGAGTTTTTTCACTAGGTCTTATTAGTTTTCTCACTTATGCGAACGGTGAAACGTTTCAAATTTTGATCCTTTCACTTATAATAATTTTTACCAATTTAATAAGTGAATAAAGGGCTAATCTTTATTGTATAATTCTGTCCAAGCTCATTTTGCCTTCTTATATATATATATACTTTTAAGTAATAGGTTTGGGATTTGACTACCGTACTTTAAAAAAATAATAAAAAAAAAGTTTTACAAATCTATGGGCTCTACAGGCTGATGAGGCTTTTTCCTCTAGCCAATCCTATGTTTAGCTTAAGAGACATTAGGAATTTAAGAAAAACCTTAAATAATCAACACCTGTCCGACACAAAATGCGATTATGACAGTGAAATTAGATTAGTATTATTATCATGAAATGTATAAAAAGAAAAGGTAAATCCACCACACTAATCAGTGGAGAGCCAACCCATAATCTTTGTTTTAAAATATTTGGTTAGGGTTAAAAAAAGTACACTTCAAAAGAATGACTTATCGAATAGACTTTCCACTTTCTAGGTTTAGGCTGTGGCATCTTCTCTCCAACTGGTTTATATTAAACTAATTGTTAATCAACACTCCCAAATTGTTGATTACCCTAACATTTATCTTAATCTTGATTAACATAATTAATCTGAATAGGACACATGTAATGGCCATGCATTATTATTTTATTTACAATGTTTTTCGTTTTTTGGTTGTTTAGCTCATTGTCCTAGATCAACTGCCACTTATATATGTGCTTTCTTCAAAAGCAATCCAAAGGCCATAAATTGCATATGCATTAAAAAAATAGATGTAATGTTTTAAGAGAAGTTTGATTATGGACAGCTCATAGGACCATGATTAATTACCACGTGTTAAATCTTTTAGTGATCGAGTGACCTATCATGTGCCACGATTTGCCATTTCACTTTATTTTATTTTTTTCATCCCACTTTGTGGATTTATTCTCTTAAATGTGATCGGTCACTTGCTTTCTGGGCTAGGATTTCAATGAATCAATTTAGGGTAAAGCATCATAGATTGAACTTTATATGAAAATAAACATTATTTTGATTAAATTGTATGTTTCTTGCTATCTGTTTCAAAAAATTAACTGTTTTGGTAGCTAATAACTTTTTACGTATAGCTTAATTATTACAAAACACTATCTTAACCTTTAAAAAGTAAGTTCAAATGCTATGTTACTGAATACTATAAAAATTAACTTTTTAATCAAAAAAACTACTTAAAAAATTATTGTCGACAAATACAATCTTAATCTCGGCGAGATGTAAGTTCGACTCTCAATAAATGAATTTACAAGAAAAGGTTAAAAAATTTACTTTTCACGTTATAAAGAGATTAATCACATTAAAAGGATTGAAAGATACATCTTTATATGAAAATGAATTTATAAATCTTGAAATATAAAATTTTATTGGAATAAGGTGCAATTATTATTATATAATTTGAAATCTAATTATTTATAAATTCATTTTTATATAAAACTAGTTCATAAAAACAAATTTTAAATTTTAAAATATTAATTAATATTAAATTAATACCCTAGCACTCAATTGATCCCTTTAATATTTGCTTGTGTTTGGTTGGTGGGGTTGTGTATTATTTAGAATGACAATTGGTTAAACAAATGCTTGAGTTAGGAACTACTTCTAAGCGCGTGATTCACACTTCCATTACTATTGGAACCTCATCTAAAGCAAAATTCATTTTTGTCGAAGTATGGCATATAACTTTGGTTTGGTGAATTGGCTACTTGTTAGTTCTAAAATGGGTATTGTTATATTTTAAAGTTCAAAGACCAAATACTATTGAAATGATGATACAAACTTGCAACTAAAATAATTCTTAAACACAAAATGATGAACTCTCTAATATGCTTTTCAAGCAATATCTATCACAAATATATATAAATTCTTTGTAATTTTGGCTTTTCGTCTTGTTTGTAGGTTGCAATATCTAATTGATCTACAAGTTAGGTGGATTTGGAATACTACGCAAATACTTTTAATTCGATTGCTTTTTATTTTATATATATATATATATATACATTCATCTTATCCTGTTTTTCAATATTGCCTTTGTCTTAAAACTATAGTCTCACTTTCCTTTTTGGATGTTTCAAATTAATAGTCCCATTTATACGTTATAAATGTTTTTCTTTTCACAATCCTCTTATGTAATGGTGGGTGTAAATAATTAATATTAATTAAGTTTACTAGATAAAAAGACTTAGCATAATTAATTTTGAAATATTAGTATTCTAATTGATAGAAGTAAAATATGAATGCTCAAGAATTGTTATGAGATGTAATATGTCCTCTAATGCGGTGTGTTACAAATATTTATAGTGTACCTCCTATTGCAACTAAAGATGTAAATGCTTAGCAAGAATTTCGGTAATAATTATTTAGAGTATTGATATTGTGTCATAAGTGTATTTCATATTCATATTTTGTAAAACTATTTTTAAATACTTGTTATATTTGGAATTTCACATTTCTTAATAAAATTATTAAATTTGCGTAAGTTACAATAAAGTATTGAGTAAATTAATTATATCACCTTTAATTTAATATGTCAAAATACCAAATTTTTATATATTGAAGCAATAATTGTTGGTCATATAAAGGGTAAATATATAAAAAAATTATTATTCTTTGAAACCATAAACGTGACAAGTATTTTGGACATAATACTTTCTCAATTGAAATAAGTATTTAGTTACTGAGATAGTAATATTAAATACAATTAGTGCTAATTTTAATTTGGAAACTTCTGTGAAAGTTATGTAGGAGTGACTGTTAGAGTAACAAATGTGAAATCTCTTCTCCTGTGAAGGTTTTATATGAATGTAAACATTCATACTAAAAGAAAACTGAAAAAAAAAAAAAATTGATTTCCTAAAAGGATAAGCGGACATGGTAATAGTTGGATCGTTTTAATAAATTTGATTCATTGCTGTGTTTTTTGATTCAGGTTGATTTCAGTTTTGTCAATAGAGAATGTGATCGTTTTACAAATTATTTAGCTAAGAAGGGAATAGATGCTACAAAATCTTTATTATCATGGCTTTAAAGTTTGATTTTGTTTATGTAATAGCATAGTTATGTACTTTTTTTTTTTCCCTCTCTTCTTATCTTAAGAAGAGGTCTTATAGATGTCCTTTCTGATTTTATTTTGTTGAGGTATTTTTTATCAGATATTTTCACTTAATTTTTTCAAGTTAGATTTGAGTATTTTGAGGAGCTGCTGGTTCGGATTAGATTACTTAGATAAATTAAATTTTTCCTGATATATTTTATTATAATAAAATAAATTAATTTCACTAATAAAAAAAAAATACCAAGCCCAAATGATCCCTAGCATAATAGCAAGGGTGATGCTTGGTCCCAGGTTCGATTGATGATAATTTATTCAATTCGTATTCCTTCCCCTGAGGGCTGTAATGCATATAATATCAAATGGAAAAAAATATATATATATCAAGCGCCTCTGTTCAAAAAAATAATATCAAGCGCGTCTTGATCACTCTCTCATCTGAGAGTGGAGTTACACTTTCCATCTCGATAATAAAACGGACATAAAAATTATTTTAAAAAAGAAAAAAATTCAAAACGGAGAGAGGGGAGGACAGCAACTGACTTTGCCTCTCCTTACAAGATTTTAAAATGTTTTCTATTCCTTTACACATAGAAAGAAAGGAAACAGAAAACAGACTCTCTCAGTCTCTCTCTATCTCTCTCTCCCCCAAGGAATTGCCTTTTCTTGAAAACAAGAATTGTTTAGATGTGGGTTTTGTTATTGGAGGAGGAGATGATAATAGTAAAAGCAACAACACTATTTTTTTAATAATAATAAAAATCAATTGCAGAATATTGTAATCTTCCAACAATAACTCACTACCAGCAAATGGGTTTCTTTCAAATTGAATTCTTTCACCACCTATATACATATAACCCTCTTTCTCTGCCACTTACTGGCTTCTCTCCTCAATTTATATTGTCTCCTCAGTTTATGAGCACCCTCTTATTGAGACTTGTGTTTTGATGATTTCATTTCTTCTCTCCCTATAACCGTCCCTAGTCCCTACTTTTACTTCCTTGACTTGACTTGGACTTGGACTTTCCTGGTAAGCTTCTCTCCCTTCGATTATAGTGTGTTTGTACGTATTGTTGACCATTTGTGAACATATTTCATGCCTTGATTTGTTGGGTTTGTTTCTGTATACGTTTTGTGCACTTTTGAACAATTTATTAGCCCATTTCTCGTTTTCTATGTCTTTCTTGTTCCTATTGTTTTGCATGTGTATTTTCTTTATCTTGGATGTTGATCAACTCACTGGATTAATTTCAGTTTTCATTTGGGTAAAACAATTTCTTCAACTTTTTTATTTTGATTTACTTGTTGAATAGGGTTTCTTGGTTTTTATGTTTCTTTATCAGTTTTCGACATAGCTGGGTTAATTGGCTAATTTCTCATAAAGGAACATAGTTTTTGTTTATGGGAACGCAGATATATACTAATCATTTCCTAGAATCCAAATTTTGTTTTTTTATTTACTTGTTTTTTAATCTTCTATCTAATGGATTATATCTTACATTTTTTTTTCCTGTTTCTTTAATACAGAGATTTTGAAAGGTTCTGATCCATGTCCAAGGGAAAACAAATAGGGGGTGAAGCTGAAGAGAGTGATGTCTGCAAAAATGATTCTAATCCTCATGAAAAAGGACTGCTTGGTGAGGATTCTGGCAATAGCTTTTGGATTATTTCCAATAGTCTCCCACCAAAAAGGTTCAACTCTTGTGAAACTAATGGAAGGGAGGATGATAGAATCAATGTGATTGGAAAAGATCATAATATTAGCAAGAAAGAGATGCTCGAAGAGAATTTTAGTAATGCCCCTTGGAATATTACTCATAATAGTCCTCCACCAGAAAATATTAGTACTGCTAATGGTAAGGGAATAGAAGGCCCTAGTTGGTATGCATTTTGGTTTCATGAGGGTGGAGTTGGTGGTTCCTCAAATGTAGAACCTCAGGATGCAGATTACTCCCAAGTTCCCCAGCTAAGTGATGAGGTAGAGAATCAGATTTTGGCAAGAGTTCCTAGATCAGAATACTGGAAATTTCCATTAGTTAACAAGCGAATTTTGGGTCTTATGAAGAGTGGTGAGCTGTTTAAGATTAGGAGAGAACTTGGAGTTAAAGAATCTTCTGTTTTTATCTTTGCAACTGGTGATAGCAGTTGGTGGGCGTTTGATAGACAATTTAGTTCTCGAAGAAAGCTTCCTGACTTGCCTGCAGACTCTTGTTTTTATGCAGGAGATAAAGAATCACTTTGTGCAGGTACTCATTTGATAATTTCAGGGAGGGAAATAAGTGGTGTTGTGGTTTGGAGATATGAATTGGAGACAAATAGTTGGAGAAAGGGTCCTTCAATGATCAAACCTCGGTGTCTTTTTGCTTCAGCCTCTTGTGGCCCCTTTGCTTTCGTAGCTGGTGGGGTGACAGAAGCTGGTAAACTTCTTAATTCTGCTGAAAAGTACAATCCTGATACTAAGACATGGGAAACCCTTCCCTTAATGCTCCTAAAAAGGAGACTTTGCTCAGGTTGTTACATGGACAATAAGTTTTATGTGATCGGTGGACAAAATGAGGAAGGAAGGTGTCTCACTTGTGCAGAAGCCTACGATGATGATAAAAAGAAATGGGAGCATATTCCAAACATGTTAGAGGATACTCCTGTTGCAACTTTCCAATCACCACCTCTTGTTGCAGTTGTGAACAATGAGCTTTACTCGCTTGAAACATCATCAAATGAACTCAAAGTGTATTCGAAAAAGAACAAAACTTGGAGGAAGTTAGGAACAGTACCAGTAAGAGCTGATTCTTCAAAAGGATGGGGTGTAGCCTTCAAATCTTTAGGCAATGAACTGCTAGTAATAGGAGCATCTACTTCCATAGTATCTTATTCCGGCGATGGCATGGCTATATACACCTGCTGCCCAGATACAGAAGCTACAGAATTACAATGGAGGCCTCTTGAATGTGGCAGAAACAGACTGAGTAACTTTATATTGAACTGTTCTGTTATGGTAGCTTGAAGCTATTCGAATAAAGAGATTCAAGCGTGCCATGTGCTTCCAATATATATAGATATATTTATATTTATCAAGTATTGCTACGAGGTTTCCCTATAAACTGAGTGATGGGATGGTTTTAAAGGATACTGCTAAATCATCTATTAGGCATCTTGTTTGCATTTTACTCTCAGTACAGGATCCTGTCAATCGCCGTTGCTTTGAATCCTGATCCTGTTGAACTTTCTTTTAGTGTTGTGAATGTATTTAAAGGTTTGTTTGGTATGCTTATAGCTTTGTTTGAAATCAAAGAATCCTGCAAGCAAACCAATATTTCTTGGCATAATGAAGTTATGTTGTGACTATACATGAAACTGACACTGAAATGGAACAGTAATATTAACCATCTATGGATCTATTTGACAAAATTAACTGTTTTTGCAGTGTTTGGTTGTTAATTATGTCAGTAGTTTTTTATAAAATATTAGAAGCTAAATGTTAAATGGTTAATCTATCATAAAATATTAGAAGCTAAATGTTAAATGGTTAATCTAATAAGATAAACGTTTAGAGTTTTGATAAGCTATTTAAAAATCTATTATCAAACACAACCTATATGTAAATCTGAAGCCATTTTCATTAAAAAAAAAAAAAAAATCTGATGTTAATTACTATAAACATATCCATCTGATTACCAACATACAATTTGATAATAGTACTTATTTCTTAATCAAGGCAGACTAATTCTAGCTTAACGTATAAACTGTAATAGATTCATAAAACCTGAAAGTATAACCTAATATAAGAATGACATTAATGCCAATCTACTCTTATATACTTAAAAAAAATATTGGTGACTTTTTGTAAAATTAAAAATAATTTAGATATTATGCTGTGATCGTTGCAAAATTAGTAAATTGATTAAAATCCTAAGGATCAAGTAAGTTGATAGATGAGTTTTTTTGGCTAAAAGGGTAAATTGACTCATGTACTTTACCTAAAAAAACCTTACCCTAAACTTTTATACTGAACTATCAAATACTTTAACTTATAAAATTTATACTTATTAAATATTATAATTTATAAAAATAGATCAATTAAACACTTATTTATTATGATATCGCCTTTTCACTAATAAAAAATAAAATAAAATTCCACTAAAAAAATAGATAATATAAAAGATAATGAGGAGACATATAATATCAAACTTCAAATATTTTAATTACTTGATTGCTTAAATCATTTCACTTTAACAAATTTCATTATAAAATAATTATTAGATTTTTTGTTTTTGAACTCTGAATTTAATTTAAATAAATTATATCATATAATATGGAAAGATTTTGAATCATATTATACGATTTGATATTACGTAAAAATTATAGAAAAATACTTATTATAAATTTATAATCATATAAATTAAAAAAAAAGTTTATTATCCCATTTAAAAATCAATTTATTTAAGCAATGGATTGAAGCTTGAAATTAAATTGATTTGAAATTAATTAAATCAAAATTTCAAATTGAGTGATATGGCAATATATTGTGAAAACTTTGTCTAGTGTTGTAAATACGCAATAATTTCTGAGGGTATTTTGAGAATATTTCAGAACTTTTCGGTGAAGTGTAATATTTGGACGTGTAATTTAACTACAGATTAGAAAAACCATTCGAAACCTCGTTTTAGAGCCAAAATGCGTTCGCTTTCCACATTTTAGACCTGCAAAACAAATCCCCAAAAAATGGCGGGAAAAGAAGAAAATTTACCGCCTTCTACTTCTTCCAGATCGAAAATGGAGGATTCTAGAGTTTCTCCACTATGTTGGCGAAAGCAGGTGGACGATAACCTGAAACGGCTGCACTCGCTTCAGTTCGGCGTCGATTTGGCTCTTGAAAGGCGCGACTTCGCAGCAGCTCAAGTTCTCGGCCTTCGCCTTCTCGGCTTTATTGAATCCCGTTCTCTCACCGACATCGATGAGGCCCTCACTAGACCGATCCGCCGTGACGCCATCTCCAAGCTCGACACCGTTCGCCAATCCCTCTTTCCCGAGTCCGATCGGTATGTAGTACATAAAAGCGACTGTTCTCTCTCGATTTATGATTTAGCGATAGTATTATGGTTTGGAATGTGTGTTTGCGTTGGTATTTTTGAAATTAAACCTTTCTTTTTGAGTTAATTGGATGACTGTGTTTCAATTTAAAGTATGTTGAGTGTTAATAAGAATCAATTTGAAACCTAGTCGTGATGATATGGACTGAGCCTAATATATATGTACCTTATGTAATTATTTGTAAGTAAGAATCGAGCACAATATATAGCATTTTATTTTGTTTCTGTATGACAATGATGCTATATATACTAATTCATTTCTGTAAACAGTAAACTTTAACCATCTTTGGTTGAATTTGATTATTCTTACAAGGCATATGCATTAATGTGCATGACTGTTTTCTCTGTGATGGTGATAATTTGTCTTTCATTTTATGTTTAGGCGGGCATTTGAACAGGCAGGTAGAGCTCCTGGCCATGTTTTCGACAGTAAAGGAGATATTGACATTGAGAAGGTTAAACAATCAAAACATTTCCGTGCTCTTCTTCAGCAATATAATATAAGGCCATTACATGGAATGGTAAGGATTGAGAAATATTGGCTTTGTGATATGTTGTTTTCTTGGTTAATTAAAAGCGGGAAGACTTTGTTTGAATCTTTCTGGTGGTTTATTTTACCTTTTCTGGTCATTTGTTTTGTCAATATATAATACACAGGAGTAAAGGTTTGTAGTTTTTGTCCGATCTAATTGTTTATTTTCTACTTCCAAATGCAACGATTGACCTAAGTTCTTATCCTCAGGGAGACCAACTGGATAGGAAGGACAAGTTGAGCTGCAAGACATCAAAGGTCATGACACAGGCAAAGCTGACATCCTTGTATGGAAACAATATCATGAAAGCAAATATTGGTTCTCACAAGAGTTCTTTGAACTCCAAAAGCAACACCTCGGATGATTGCATGATAGTAGAAAGAGCTTATTCATATAACAACCATTCTAAAGGTCACGGGCTCTCTGCTTATATAAAAAATGAAGAGGAAGAAAGAGGCTCTGGAAATGCTTTGGGATCAAAACGTTCACATGAAGAAATCAGGAGCCCCAGAAATGAGAGTGCAATGTCACCCCCAAGCAATGATGAAGCTAGCACAGACGTTTCTGGCAATGGATTTGTAACTGCAAGAGCAAAACTGGTATCTATTCAATTCTCCAATAGAAAATTAGCAAAAGACAAAAACTCATAGTAGTCTAAAACTCATTCTTCTTATTTGTTTTTATGGCAATGGAATGTATGTATGATCTATGTCAACATGAACCCCTCTCCAGAAACTATCCAACCTGATGCACTGGCCTCATACAGTTAAAATTATTCTTATCTGCATAGGGCTAATGCTTTTAGCTAAAGTCCTTTGCACTGTCCCTTAGTTTTCTCTGTTTTGGTCGTCAATGTTATAGTATTTTTGCCAGTCTGAACAGTCGATAAACCACCAAATAAGAAAAAATGAAATCTCCTATTATTTCTAGGAAAGAGGAAACTGGATATGCAATAATGAATGCCATGATATATCTTCTCAAATCTGAAATATCTTAACGCCAACTAAAGGAGTTGGAGTTATTATGCGAGCTAAGAGAAACCTGATGTAAAATTTTTGGTGCTGTAAGTTTGAGTTCCCAGTGGACATGGTTTCTCTGGGGAGGAATAGTACTTAATTTTCTTACTAGCTCAGATAGAAGCATGTCTTGATCTACAAACTATTTGCTTTGAGGTCTGTCTGAGTGGAGGAGAAAAAAAATGTTAGGTTTGAGTTAGGAATAATGGTCAAGTAGTGCTGGAAATAAATTGAGGTCATTGTTTGAAAAGTTATATTTTTTTTCCTCACTTCAGGTTTTTTTGGCACAGGAAATGGATGCACGGCAAAAGAGAGGGTTGATGGGATCCCCTAGTGCATCTGTCTCCCCACAAAGTGAAAATGCAAACAGGAGTTATGGGGGTAGATCATATGGCTTTTCACGACGTGGCATCCGTGGTAACTTTGTTCCTCCTATAAAATCAAATGGAGGCAACACTGGAAATATGACTACACGAGCCACAGGAAAGGATGATGCATTAGACGACTCAACAAGGAGATGGTAAGCTGTATCGTATGCATTAGCACTTCATGTCATAAGATCCATAATAAGTAATATAATAGTCTTTGAAAGATGATTAAATAGTCTTATACGTATTCTTTTTGGGCTTATTGCCCTAGTGAACTGAAATAATACTTGGTACTGTAGAGGTCCTGACTTCTTCCTATAGTTCTATTATGTTGATGAATTAGCATATTTTACTGATTTTCTGTTTTCTCTTAGTCTGGAGATATTATGCGGTCCTGACGGTGAGCTTCCTGAAAAATTGAGAAATTTGGAACCTCGTCTTATTGAACATGTTAGTAATGAGATTATGGATCGGGATCCTAATGTACGATGGGATGACATTGGTAATGGAAAAATATTTAAGAGCTTATTGCTGCCAATAACTTTGCAGTTTCTTATATTTGCCGTTCTAATTTTAATTCCTCATCAAAAAATGCTGTAGCTGGCTTGGAGCATGCCAAAAAATGTGTGACTGAGATGGTCATATGGCCATTATTACGTCCTGACATATTTAAAGGTTGTCGTTCTCCAGGCAAAGGTCTTCTTCTTTTTGGTCCACCGGTATGTAACAATCCATATAAAATATAGAATTCAATACTTTTTAATTTAAATTCATTTTGGTACCTCCCATGTTCTAGGGAACAGGAAAAACAATGATAGGAAAAGCTATTGCTGGAGAGGCAAAAGCAACCTTTTTCTACATATCTGCAAGCTCATTGACAAGCAAGTGGGTATGTTCATATCTGCTGATTTCCTCATACATTTTTTGTGGTTCACGGACTGAATTCTTTTTTTTTTTTTTTTTTAAAAGTCAAATTGGTTATCGGTCATAAATAAAAGACTTCAGAATTAATTCCAAAACTTTTGTTAGATTCCTGAAGTTCCTGTGTTATTTTCTGTATCACAATTTTTTTTTTTTCATTTTAGTCTTATCATCTGAGTGCCCAAGGCATTGTAAATTTTAGTATATCATTTATATTTTTCCAACTCCACTTTGCTCAATATTGTTGCCCAAGGGATTGCCAGTTTTTTCGTAAAACTAAACAAAAATGAAAAGATGGAGAAAGATTCGCCAAAGTAGTTATTTTTGCTACATGTTTTAACTTAAATGACTAACAATTTGTGAAGTTGTACTGAGGAAATAAAAGGAGAAAGTGACACATAATTCTACTTTATGCATTTTATTTGTTGCAATACCATATATTGTGTGAAATATTTGTTTACTTCTTGACATTATTAACCTGTGAGTTTAGATTGGTGAAGGTGAAAAATTAGTCAGGGCACTGTTTGGCGTTGCCAGTTGCCGTCAGCCTGCTGTAATTTTTGTTGATGAAATAGATTCACTCCTGTCTCAGGTAAAGCATGTTCTGAGTATGCTGGTTGTGGGCACTATGCATAGGCTAGCCTACTCGTGTTCTTTCTGATGGGAGGATTGATTTAAGATTTTAAATGATTTTGAATTTAGAATTGTTTGATTATTCAAGGTTTCTTAGTTCTGGGAAACTATTATACTTATTGGTAATTTTGATATTTGGTTGGATATTTAGTCATTTTTGGGGATTCTCATTGTTGCATCCTGGAGTTTTTTAGTCATTTTGCAGAATGGCTCTAAGGTTTGAATTGAAAGTCTCATGCTTTCAGTTTTCTTGATTTCATATCTTTTCTACCTTTCCTTTCTTCTCTGCATTCTCTGTGTCTGTCCTTTCCTTTGCCAGTCATGGAATAATTAGTGTTTTCTTTTTCCTGTGATTTTGCCTTCTTATCCTTGGTAAGGTGCTTCCATTCTATATCTATGATCACCATATGCAAATTATGCCAATAACCCTTTACATTTCTTCTTATATGCGTCATCAGTTATTTCTTACACATCAGATGTAGCACTTAATTTTCATGTTTACAGCGTAAGTCAGAAGGTGAACATGAATCAAGTAGAAGACTCAAAACTCAGTTCCTTATTGAAATGGAAGGCTTTGACAGTGGTAGTGAGCAAATTCTACTGATAGGTAATAGTTGAAGCCCTAAATGATTGCACGCACAAGCACATGTGCTTGCTTCTTCGTTTTATTTGATAATTTGAAGGTCCTCAAATGATATCTAGAGGCAACCATAAAGGTCAAAAAGTGTGCTTATAGTATATCTGTATGGTGCAAATTATTGTCATTATCGGTTTCAATGAGGTAGATATATTGCATTTGTACCACATTTTATCTAATTGGATTGGTTCAATTGACTATATAATATTTATCTCCTAGAATGATAAATTAGGTTATCCTATATTGTCCTCGTCTCTCCTGTATTATATTGCACGGTAATATAGCTACTTTGTTCAATAGGATATGAAATTCTAAAAGGTTAGGAGAGAAAATTGTGTAGGAATCAATATTTTCATGTTCTTGCATCACTTGTTTTCGCTCGGGTGTTGAGAACTTCCATACTATAGAATGAAGAGAAAATTACTGATACAGATCAACTTCATTTTACCATATTTTAGTTTTTGTTCAAGCAATTCCCGTTTCAGTTTACCAGAGCAATGAGGTAACATAATTAATTGCCTTGATTGCATCAATCTTGCTCTTCAAGCCAGGGTTTCTACATGTCCTTTCAGTTTTCTGTTTCATTAAGTGAAACGTCCTTACTTTTCAAATCAGCATTAGTTTTCGTTCTATGTGATGCAATTAATTGTTTTTGTCATTTGATAAATGGATGTGTAATCCAGGAGCAACAAATCGACCCCAAGAACTTGATGAAGCTGCACGGAGGCGACTTACAAAAAGACTTTACATCCCCTTACCTTCATCAGGTACAATTGTGACTCTTATCTATTTTGAAAATTCTTTAATTGAATAAATAAAACAGAAGTTAACCTCGCTGTATTGGGAATGAAGAAGCAAGAGCCTGGATTGTACGTAACCTTCTGGAGAAGGATGGTCTATTCAAGCTGTCAAAAGAGGAAATTGATACCATATGCAATCTGACCGAAGGTATATGTTTCCTACATTTCAGAGCTAATAAATCCAAGAGTTTCTCCATTATGTTTCAAATTGAATTTTTTTTAACAACTGACTAGAAATGTCACTTCAAATGGTTTGGTTTGTCTGAAATTTTCCTGGCTTGTGAATTTTTCTTTTTAAAAAAAAATTTTGTAGGATATTCAGGTTCAGACATGAAAAACTTAGTCAAGGACGCATCTATGGGTCCATTGAGAGAAGCTCTTAAACAAGGAATAGAAATCACGAAGCTGAAAAAAGAGGATATGCGGCCAGTTACCCTTCAGGTAACAATAAATTCACTTGCTCCACACAAAAACACATGCATTATGAATCAAGAACCATTCTTTATTTGAAAATTTCTTTCTTTTCACATAGGATTTCGAAAAAGCTTTGCAAGAAGTGAGACCCTCTGTTTCATTGAGTGAACTCGGTACATATGACGAATGGAACAAACAATTTGGAAGCTTATCACTTTAGGTTAGTCTTATTACTGCGTGAAAAAAAAAGGAAAAGGAAAAAAGAAAGTAAAAAAAGATTACACCATTGAATGTTGATCCCTATGAGAATTGTTCATAACATCTCAAATATTTGTAGTATACAAATTAATACACATAAATTTGCTTCTAAAATGCTTGTCCCCTTATGGAAACAGGGATTACTAATTTTTCTTATTAGGCTGTAAGTGCATAGAAAACAGTAACCTTTGTTACTTTAAAGCTAGAGTTAGATATTAGATTAAAAATGAACTTGATCAAAATACATTTTTAATCAATTATTAAACATAAGTATTTGATTACTTTTAATAAACAACCTCGAGTGCTTGACCACGACTATAATTGCAAACAAATAATTAAAATAGGCTCCATGTGAAACAATCGTTCCACTTACGCATGTGTGTCTGACCAAATTATAAAGATAATTAAAGCCTACACAAGCATGACCTTTTTCCTCGTTATTATTTTGGATCATTTCATGATTATCGTATAATATTATAGTCTGCTATCTATATTCAATTTTAATAATGACATGTTACACCTTCCAATTACTGAAATCTAAATTATTCACCGTCGAATAACTAATTTAATTAGAGTCAGTCGTGGTTATCTGACTCCTCTTTCTGACCACAACCCTAAATCCACCGGCCATGTGAGCCGTCAACCGTGGCACGAAAACCGGCCTGTCTGAACTAACCGGTCTGATTTCAAACTGCCTGAGAATGGAAGCCACCACATATTTCATTTGAATGAATGCCATCTCCTTCCCTAGGCACACCCTTGGACCAGCCTGAAAGATTGGAAATTTGTAAGGACATACTTTCTTCAGTGAACTTGACTGCTCCGGTTCAAGAAACCATCGGTTCGGTTTAAACTCAAGGCAGTCCTTACCCCACAATGCTTCCATTCTTCCCATTCCGTAAGGGAAATAAGTCACTCTATCTCCAGCTCGAACATGGGTATTATCTGGCAACAAGTCATCTACAAGGGCATGCTTAGAATCCCAAACTACTGGTGGGTAAAGCCTCATTGACTCACAAAGGCATGCCTTCAAAAATCTCAACTCTTTTAATGAATCATAATCAAACTTTCTTTCTTTGATAATATTTGTCTCTTTAAATACTTCTTGCTCTATATCTGGATGACAAGAAAGCAACCAGAATAGCCATGTCATCGCAGCTGAAGTTGTATCTCTACCTGCCATAATAAAACTTACAACCATATCTCTTATCACTTTCTCCTCATGTCTAGCCAATATAAGCCGAGAAAGAAGATCTTGGTTCTGATTATTATTATTTTCTCCTTGTTCTAGTATCATCTTCTCCCTGTTAACAATAACCTTTGAAACGTATTGATGAACTCGTTGAACAGCATCTTTAAGCATTTTCTCAGATCCAATCCCAAGACATCTCTTAAACTTCCAAACAAGATACATAGGAGCCGTAGCCCTTCTGGCGCATATCTCAGACGCCATGTCAAAAGCTCTAGCAAGAGGTGAAACAGGTAAAGAAGGATCTAAGCAACGTCGATCAATCCCTAAACTAACCTTACAAATCATGTTGAATGCAAGTCTTCTTAGCAACTCTTGCAAGTCAAAAACCTCTCCTGTTTCTGCCAACGACTCAAAAACTGGCGATAAACCTTTATCAACTTCTTCTTCCAATGTACTAATAAAAAACTCCCTTAACGACTTAGCTGTGAACTCATGGCTAGCTAACTTTCTTTGACTATTCCAAAGCTCTCCATCTACATTGAATATTCCATAGCCAAGAAAATCCCCAAGAATTTCAGTGAAGGGTTTGCCTTTGGGGAAGTTGTTGAAGTTTGTTTTGAGTATATACTCAACATTTTGTGGATTAGCTGTGATAATTGTTCTACGTGCACCTAACCGATTTACGACAATAGTACTGGTAGCTGATTTTGAAATAAGTTCAGTATACCAATCTAGAAGACGGCTCTGGTTTTTGTAGAATGAAATCAAGCATCCAATTATAGGATAGGTTGGCGGGCCGTGGCTGGGAAGTTGCCCGAGTTTATGAAAGATTATCTTTAGAAAGTAGAAGAGACTGGTATATAATAAAATGAAGGATAGCAAGTGGAATGTAAGGGAAACGAAAGTTGCCATATTGACAAGCAGAGAAGTAACAGAAAATGATGATGATGATGATGATGATGATACAAATCTCCTATACCTACTATAAATGGTGTTTTACATATAATTTTCCTACCAAAACCTCTTTTTTAAGTCCACAACCACGAGGTCTCATATGGTGTGAACACAAGATTTATTTATAATAGTTTTCATAATATGATTTTTTAGTTAGGTGGAGGCGCTACCAGCTCCACATTATATGGGAAGAGATTCATCGTGGGTGTGTATTTGCCTGCACACCGTTTCACCCTGTCTGACTTTATTGGTAAAGTTTAATTAAATTTATTAATCATTAAATTCAAAATTTACATTAAAATGATTTTAAATGGTTAACAAACACGTTTTTTATATTAGACTCAGCTTATAATAATCAAATCCTTTTTTTTTTTTTTTTTTTTACATATTAATTTCCTACCAAAACCTCCTTTTTTAAGTCCACAACCACTGAAGGTCTCATATGGTGTGAACACAAGATTTATTTATATTAATAGTTTTCATAATATGATTTCTTTAGTTAGGTGGAGGCGCTACCAGGCTCCACATTATATGGGAAGAATCATCGTGGGTGTTGTATTTGCCTGCACCACCGTTCCACCCTTGTCTGACTTACTTGGAAAGTTTAATTAAATTTATTAATCATATAAATTCAAATTTACATTTAAAATGATGTTTAAATGGTTAACAAACAGTTTTTTATATTAGACTCAGCTTATAATAATCAAATCCCCTTTTTTTTTTTTTTTTTTAGTTGGTTGTAGTCAATATTAACTAGGCACTAGTTTGGCCCAATTTGGATTTTTTTTTTTTTTTTTTTAGTTTGGTGTAGTCAATATTACTAGCACTAGTTGTGCCAATTGGGATTATCAATTATATCAGAATTTCTATGATTTGTATGATTATCTTGAATTATAGTGCTCATGAACTTGAAAAAACTATTTCTCTTTTATTAAATAAAAAAAGGTCGATTGTATTTACAATCAAATAGAACTTTTCGAGTATCCACAAGTAAATATTTTCTGGTACATAACATTTTTTTTAAGTTTCCCACTTTTAATCACATGTTCATTTAATTATTTTTTTTTTCATAAAAGGATATATATATTCTTTTTGTTGAGATGGACTGAATTAAAAACAATACAACAAGATGCACATCACATTATTAATAGAGAATCTTGGTAACTTTGATTTCAAATTTTAAAAAGCACTAAACTTGACTGGGAAAAAAAAAAAAACAAAACTACAAGATTTAATAGAAATAGAAATAAAAAATAATAGAGTTTTTTAGTGCAATTATTTCATTTTTATTTAAATCCTGAAATATTATAAAATTATACATTTATAAAATATTACAATGATTTGTTCTTCTTTATGATTGACCAAAACGATAAAATATATAGTATTTTGCATGTGCTATTAGTTAATGTTCAATTTTTAAATTAGGTTAAGAAAAAAAAAAAAAAATCTCCTAACGAACTTCTTAATTGTATTAAATCCAGTGATTATTAAAACTTTTGCAAAGCTGACTCTTCATAATGTCTAAATAAAGTGTATTAGGAATTGAAGGATGGACTTGCTCCCACGACTAGTCTGGTGCATGCCAATCAAAAGTTTGTAGCCATAATTATTATTAGTTATAAATTTAAAATTTTATTTTTAATTATTTAAATAATTCATAATTTTCTTTCAATAATTTTAGATGTAATTATTATCACTAGTTGATGTAATCATCATTATAACCAAATGTGCCTTCGTAATTTTCTTAAATTTATTATTATTTTTTTTTATTGAAGTTATTAAAAAAGGGAAATCACCAAACAAAGCCTCTTATGATTTAAGTAAAAAATAAAAAATAAACATAATAAGTAACTCTCAAAATTCGAAATTAGCTGCTATGAAAACTTGATTTCAGTGAGTTTAGACGGATTTATAATAATTTGAATAATATTTTTATTTTCCATCTTATATTCGAATTCAAGGACGGGATATCCTAGCATTGCTATCCTGCTCCTACAGCCACTTTCGAAATATCAGAGTTCCAAGTCATCCGATAGTGTATACTATCAATTTCTAAAGATAGTGTCGTCTGATACCGCAGTCTACAGTGTATAGCAGTATTAGTATATTATGAAAGCCTAAACTAAAGATAGCGTGGCATTAGCAATAGCAAGTCTTTCGTTTGTCGGTCTTTTACTTGGGATGCTATTTGCTAACATAAATAAATGAAGCAAATGGTACCATTATTATTATTTTTTCCACTGTGTACAATAAATATAGTGATCATGCATGCATCTTTGTTCTCTCACCCAACGACCCCTTTTAAAAGCAAAATTACCAATAATTTAAATCAAAGACACTTTGCCCATCACCAATCACTCCATCCATCAAATCAACTAATTGCATCATCCAACGGCTGGGGTCTCTTTAGGTTTCTATAATTATACAATAATCCAACGAAGAATCAAGGCCAAGGCTTGTTTTTATATAGAAAAAACCTAGAACGACAAAAATTCATATTTTTATAGAAGTGGTAACGTGGCAAAAGATTTTCATTATTTGACATTCATGATAAATACTTTTGAAATTTTATTTATTAATAATTATACTTTTGACCAAATTGATTGGTCTTATCAATTTAATCGCAAATCAAACCATGGTTCAATTTAAATTGAATATTTAAAATAGAGGTAAAGAAATTAGATAATAATAAATAAAAACTGGTGAAAAATGAAATTACTGTTAGGATTAATTCAAAATAATATTATAAAAAATTTGTTGAGATTTCAATTTTATTTAGTGCAGATTTTCTGCATAGAATTTGATTTCAATTTTATTTAGTGCAGATTTTCTGCATAGAATTTGATATTTTTGTTATTAAGATCCATGATTTTTAGGAGTATTTTTAGATCTTATTTGATTCACTTGTAAGCCTATAAATAGGCACGTTCTTTTATTAATTCAATAAAAGTGCAAAACATTGTTAATCATCTTGTGTATTTTCATTCTTCCTTCCAAAATTTCAACAATTACATAATGTTTGTGTTCAGAACATTGATTCAAACGTAAAAACAAACATGCAAGCCAAAAACTTTTATAAAATTCACTTATACCGAGCAAGCAAAGAACTAAAAGAAAACGTTAAATTCAAATGTTTTATTATTATTATTATTATTATTATTTCAGAAGATTATTACTATTAATAATATCCCACGTAGCAATTAAGTTCACATGACGGTTCTTGTGAATAAAATATATACTAGATAGGAAGACGAGACGTACATCAACATTTTTCTAGTCATTTTCTCTTCTTCTCCTCCATCAAAACACCTATCTTCTTTGTCTTCTTCTCTTCCCTTTTCTTTTTAATTCTATAATTTTAAGTGAGGAATTTTCCTGTTTCTCCGACAGCCAACCGAAAATGGGGCTCCCGAAATATACAAACGTGACAAAATTTTATTGCAATAATTAATTCCATCCACTTGCATCTACAGCCGATCGATCAAAATATATTTAAAAACCAAGAAATGTACTTATGAACAAGTATGAATTGATCGAATTTTGCCACAGAAAAACTCCATTATAAAAATTCAATTGCTAACCAAAAGAATTACTATTAAAAAAAGGAGAAAAAGATTTCCATGCATGCAGATAATCCACATAGAAAAATCCAACCTTTGATTATTTTTCTTAATTTGAAAAAACCAAGGATTAAAAAATAAAAAATTCCACAACCTATATTATTTTATCATTAGAGACAACAATTTACACTTGGTTTTTATATTATTAAGAATTTGTCCATATGGTAGAGATTGTTGTGTAGTTTAATGTCTTTTCATACATGTGCTATGCTATGGCAGATGCAAACAAAGATAGGTGTAATGGGGAAATACTACAAAAAACAGAAACGGACATAGCATTGGCTAATCTTCTTGATTCTTACAACTGGATAAGAGAATAATAATAATAATAATAATAATAAATATATTGTTGGATATTATTCATCAATTGAAGTGTGTTTTTGGGACTTGACTTTGTGGTCGACTTTTGAACACATGTTCCTCATCTTTCAACTAGCTAGTTCACACACATACACACACACCAAATACTCGTAAATAGTTAGGTTGTCCAATTTGTCTTCTTTATAGATTTTAAAAAAATATTAAGAATAGAAGCTTTCAAGTTTAAATTCTCTCTACCATATAAGATTTTTGGGAGAGTTATTTCATGTCATAAAACTGAGTTATTTTTTATATATTTAGTTTTTAATATAATAAACATTACAATAAAGTGGAAAACAAAAAGAAAATATGACAATTAAACATGACTAATACAATAGTTAAAAAATATATTTTTACCATTATTATTTCAATAAAATAAATAAAAACTTTTCCATATATTAAATTATATAAACATTCAAAACCTAATTTAAATGTTATGAAGCATACAATCATCAACTAATCAAATTATAGGATAAATTGCAATTGGATCAAAATTACTTTTTCTTCTCTACCGTCTAGAAAAATTATTCTAAAATAGGAAATTAAATAGTAATAATATATTAAATGTGAAAGATCAAATAGTTTAATAAGACATTTAACAGCAAACACAATTTTCTTTTTGAGGAAAGAACTAAAGCAGTTTAATAGAAACAAAATTTAGGAACTTAGTAGTAATTTTTCTGAACAAGAGAAACCAAGTAGTAATTTATCCTTAAACTACGTCATATTTGTGTCATTACGTCATCATCGTACACCTGAACTGAAGCAAGTAGTGAAAGTTATAACCCGACAATGTGGGTTGGAAGATGACGCAAATGCCGCCTTTAAAATCTTTAACTACAATAAAATAACATTTCCAACACTTCCAAATGGTTCGGTTTCTTTCTTGAGAGAAACTATAACAATACCATTCAAACTCATCTCATCCTCTATATCCATTTAACATAAACATATCCTGCAATAGTTTACCAAATTCAAAATCCTGGTCCATCAACCGAGACCGTTGAGTGGAGACTTGGCTTTTTTCCATAGTTCTCCTGCTCCCTAGAACCACTTATTTTGATCAACATAGATCTTGAGGAGAAGGGCAGTTTATCACACTAATGGTAAAAGGTAATATGGCTATAGTTATGCAAAGTGAAAAGCTTAAGCAACTCCGCAAACAGCCAAGTCAAAGCATTGATATCTTATTCTATGGATACAGAAAACAAAATCCAGTCATGGTTTTTACATATTTGAGTGACCAACTCGGACTTGAACCCGATGCCATGAAGTGTTAAGTATCCCTCTCAGGTTCCAAATATCCTGCACATTTTCTGGTTGGACATTTGATGCTGAATCCACCTGTTCATGTACGGAAGAAGGAACATCATGCATTGCAAAATTGTAAGGGTAAAACAATGAATATGAATACAATTCGAATAGGTTTAACCAGGGCCAATGCATATAAATTTCCAGGGAATGAGAGAACGATTCATTTAATGGGCTAAACAAAGATGAGAATAGCTCTCAAATCAGCAGGTTAGCATGGAGTAAGGTTTCACAAACCCATGGCTGTGGACCAACTTTGGCAAAGACATTATGATCCCATTAGAAATCTTTGATGACAGAGATATTGTATGTAATTTATGTGCTATAAAATATATTTTATGCATTGAAAACCATTGATGTAGTTTCAGGCACTAAACTAAGAGAATGGAAAACTAAAGTATAATGAACGCATTCTTATAAATGAATACATACAGCTTTTGCAACAATTTCTGTGCTGTGTGGCACATCAACCGCGACGTCAAATAGCACCCATGCCCATTTGTCACTCGTCATATCATCAGCAATATAAGAGACACCAGTCTTCTGGTGTCTGGATGCTTCCACCCAGGTTTTGCTGCCGTCAATAGACACATCTACTCTCTCAATTCCACGGCCACCTCCTGATGCTGCATATCCACTAACTTTCACCTGCAAAATATATTGGTAAAAGGAGAACAAGGTCATCCAAATAAGATCAAAGCAGAAGCAAAAGTCTCTGTGATATAGAACCATGATAAAAGGGAAGAGAAAACGAAGAGAAAAAAGTGATACTCCAAAGTATCAAAAACAACCTAATGTTAAAAAAGCCAATAAGAACACTAAATATAGGCACGGCAAAATAAACCTAGCCATAGTAATCCGAATAAGTTTTAACTTTATTTCTGAAAAACGGTTCAAAAACCCAAACAAGTGGTTCAGCATCAATAGATGCACCTCTTGTTCAAAATGGCAACCCATAGAGGATGAAAACTAGAATTTGGGCACTATTATTGGGAAGCCAGCAAGGAGAACACTTAATCTCTAGGAAATATCAACCTAAAACTTAGTTCATAATCTAATTTACTTAAGCTCCTCAATTTGCCGTAAAGTAACCATGTCATATGATGCTTGGGAGTTGGAACAGAGTATAACACTGACACTAAATGTATGAATTTTGGAAAATAGGGGAGTCTTAACATGCCAAGATTTACCTATACCCAAGATCAAGAAGCATAGCCAGAATGGTTAGAAATCCATGATAACTTCAAAGCTATCTGCCATGTAATCACCCAGAGAATTTGCTCAATGACACACTTTGAAAGAACTTTATTGTCCATTTGATTAAACAAGGAGAAAATATTGTCTCAACCAAGATGCTAGTGCAAGTCGTGATGGGTGAAAAAAAAAAGACCATTTTGGAAAGCATTCAGGAGTTCAGTAACATTTTCAGCAGCAGATGAAACTAACCTTTCCAGGCTTTATTGCAGTCACATCCTCTAAAGAACAAATTGCACACTGTGAAACAGTAAAACCAAGAGTGTGAGTCAATTGATCGTTTTCTTAAAAAATGAAATGAAACCTGGTTGTGACTTAATGCTTGGGTCTGAGAAATTAACCATTGTCCTATAAAATGAAAAGACATACATTTCTTCATTCCAATGCTTCTTTATACATTTTATTGAAACCAGCAAATTGATAATCTTGAATTAAGTTGGGTTACGTCCAAAGACATGGAGATTTTCAGTAAATAAAATTTATGCTTTTGCACTTGGAAAGAGGCTTAGTGTTGTATTAAAATCAAGGTTTGCCTTTGGAGTTATTTTTAACCAAAACCATTGGCTTCATTGGAGGTCTACAGCAGAGGGTTCTAAAGGAGTACCGTCAGCTACATTGAATGTGATTAGATGGTGTCACTCCCCTAATTTCATTCATTTTGAATTTGTGTATTTCCTAAGAGGAGGGTATCTCATACCTAATGGCATATTTTCCTTTCATTCCTTCAACAAAATTTCTCGTTTTATCTGAAGGAGAAAAAAAGTGAAATTCTATGCTAGGAGTATCAAGTATATACCTGGACAGGGAAATCCATCTGTGGCCTCCTTGTAGACCAATTGATGTTATCCCAATCCACTGATGGGGGAAACATTTTGTAGTCCTTTTGCATAAAGAAGCCCTAAAGATAGCAATGTGAAAGCAATCACATGATAGCTAAAAGGGATTAGAGTATATATAGATACATACATACATATATGTATTACAGCACAGTTCAGATCAATTTATCTATGCCCTAGGACCTGGACCTTTAAAAAAATCCAAGCTGTGAAAATAAGCCACCATTTGAAGCCTAAACTTCCCTACCTGACATTCTTTTGCAATTATATTGATGGAATCCAACCACTTGACAGAACGCGCACCTATCACACCTGGGACAACCACTCGCAATGGATAACCATGATCCCTGTTTAGAGGCTTTGGCATGACAACAAGATGATGAACTAATATCAGAAAAATTAAAGATGACTTAGTTCACTGGACCTAACTTAGCAAATAGAAGAACGTAAAGATGAAAGTAAAGTCCCAGAATAGTAAATCCTTAGGAAACGAGCAAAATGCCACAATAAGCATTTAGATGTGAGCATTACATGGTATTGTTCAACAGAATTAATTCAAAAACAAAGGCAGTTGAAAAAACATATTAACTGGGTGACAAGTAAGTTTAAAGTATCATTAATTAAATTGTAATCAACCAGGAATTTCAGATGCATGGTCTCTGAAATTACTATGAATATGATGAAACCAAGCCTTATTTTTTGGTCTCGTCATTTTGAAACAGAATTTTCAATAGCCAAAACTTGATCAGAACCACCTAAACACCAATACTTTTTGGAGTAGCTGGAAAAAAAAAGTTAAACTTGAACAGTTAATTCAATAGAAAATAGTTTACTAACCTCCCCATTCATCTCATAAGCAAGTAAGACATCAGCTTCGGGGTTTGTGGCCTGACTGAGTGGAATTGATGCCTTGTAAGGGCCCCCATTCTCCTCCTACATTTGTATAATCACAGGTCCATGTAAGGGCATATATACCAATCAAACCACAAAGATACACCAAACACTAGAAAAACTGCAAGATGTTCTTATAGCGACCAGCTTTAATACCTTACATTTATCAATGCTCACAAATTCAACATGTTTTCCACCTGATTTTGTGGCACTTGTCAACTTGGATATTCCAACAAGTTCAAGAACATCAGCCAATTTGGCACCACCCCAGACAGCTAAAATCAAATTGAAGTATTAGAAAGATAACATCCTAAAAAAATCTATGCAAACTAATTGTAGAGAACTATGTTTCCTCACGGATACTGGAAATATGAGTATTATGGTACATGCTATGCAGGTTAATATAAAGCCCAATATGGTGGAGGACAGGTTTCTTTTAGTGAACATACTCAAAGCTGAAACAGAGTCACTTATTTGTGGAGAGGAAAAGGGGAGGGAAATAGAGAGCTGCCAGAAAAGGGAAAAAGATTCCCCCTCAGATTCTTTTTTCATCCAAACATGAGAGAAGAAAATATATTTTCCCTTTTATCAATTTCCTTTCCATTATTTCGTCATTTCACTTTCTTTCCTTTCTCATGTTTGAAAACAGAGCACTAAAATCCTAATAAATCCATGCGTTGTATGCACCTATTGCATCAGAATAATTAAGAGTTGATTAGAGATCCAAGATAGGTAAAAACAAACCATTTCCTATAGCAGAAACATCCCAGCCAACTCCTCTTACTTTTCTGACGTTGCTCATGGCAGTCCTCCTGTTTCCAGCACACTATACACTCATAGAAGCAAAGGTTAATCCAGCTAACAACAGACCTACTAGTCATTATTATTCTGCACAACTTGAGAAAGAAATTTTAAAAGACTAACTTTGTATGAATATTGGAGCATACCTGTAAGGTTGCAGTGACATTATATTTTGGAAGCTTCCTATTAATTATCATAAAATAAAAGATTCTCCATCAATGTAACATTTAAAGCTTGGCAATACATAACAGAAAAATAAGAATGCACACACAACTCACCAGATATCTTTCATAAACAACTCTCGGGGCCTATCTATTAGACCACTAATGGTAACAGAATATCTGCTCAGACAAAGAGGCGGAAGAATCCATTACCACTAATCGAAAATTAAAAATTTCAGCAGAAATGAAATTTGAATTGGCATATAACCTTTCTATATCATCAACGATTGGTATAGGTCCATGATTTCTCTTGTAGAACAAATCCACCGGGGTCACATAAGAGCTAACCAAGGCTGACCGTGGTGGCTCAGCATTAAAAGGTTGCTGCACCAGAGTAAAACAAAAAGGGCATTTCAATCACTGAAATAGGAAGCTCAGTAACAGAGAAAGCACTTGCTTTTACAAATAATTCAATTAATGCATGAAGACTACAAAGCAAATGTAAGTGAAAAATTCCAGTCAAAAGCCATCTACAATAGGTAAAAAATAAAATAGCTAGTCCCTGAAATTTCAAGGCAGCGTTAGAATTCAAACTGAAGGCAGCCAATATCTCAAAATCCAAAATGTCAAAATTGCTAATTTAATGAATTCGAAAACCCACATGACATACATAAATTCAGCCCCTTTCTTACTTAGCTAAGGCCAAAATATTCCCCACCGAAAAAAAAAATCCGAAATTTCAATATTGACAAACACTTATAAGCTCACTGTAAGAAAATGATTAAAAGCTAATATGAAACAAAGCATGATACATATATGCATTATTGTATACAATTAACATAAGAAGGATTCATAGAAGACACAATTATTTCAAAATCAATCCATTGAAACGGGTAAAATAGAGAAGCTGAGAATAAAAACTGGCCTTGGAATTGATTTTGAGGGAAGGGTGACGTGGTGGTTCCTGCGCATAATCTGACGGACCTTCAATTCCCGGCATTCTCAAAAGCTCCTCTTCAATTCGGAAACTACAAGACAGAGAAGGATAGAGATAGAGATATAAACAGAGGGAGTAGATTCTCGATGGAAGGTGAAAAACTGAAAATGATATGTATGGCAGAGCTATCCGTGATGGTGATTGGCTCGGGCTCAGAGAGAATCAAGCACAGTTAATCATATGACTGTGGGTGATAAGCGACTGAGCGGACCACCATCCTGTTTCTTATTAAATCAACCAGTTATTTTTATTTCTGGTTCGATTCAAGTTATTCAATTTGAATTCCGTATTGAATTTTTATAAATTGAAGTTATTTTGGTTGGATTAAAAAAAAATAAAATAATTGAATCAAGTGAAAATGTATAATTTTGTATATAAAATTATTTTATATAAATAATATATGTGGTGTTTAAGATTTTAATTATTTGAATTTGATTTATTTTTTAGCGTTATTTAGGTCTAATTTGGTTTATTTTTTAAAAAATTTAATTATTTTAATTTGTATTCTCGTCCAACCAAACAAATGGTAATCACGGTCTATATTGATTGTGTACTCATTTATATATAAACCCAACCAAATCTTTAGTTAAATCAATTTCTAAAAAAAAAAAAAAACAATTATGATAAATAATAATTAATCTTTAACTTTGAACACCCATTAATTATGTTGTAAATTTGATGGGTTTATATTTCAACCAGTGATTTTAGCATTGAAGAAACAAAATCAAAATCATATTTAGTAATAATAGTTGTGAGATATCTCCGATGTGTAGGCTGAGATGGAGTGGTTTTGAAACTTCTTTGTCTTTAATCAAAGGTCGAAATTGCCATATTAAAAGAACTGTAATTTCGGTGTAGACTTTTCTTGATTCATTCCAATTTCACTTGATTGACCAGAACCAAAAATTGGATCCGGTCTGGTTCGAAGTCACCATGTTTGTGATGTGATTTGTTGATAAAAACAAAGAATTGGGACAAGACATTGTGAATTTGTTATGTTATGGGCGGATGGTTTTGTGATTTCTGAATTAGAAAATGTGGATTCCATCACAATACCACCACCCACCATGCCCATGGTTGGGTATGATTTGGCACTATATGTGATGCTTTTGTTATCTCCAATATTTAATTAACTAGCCATAGTGCTCATTCTCATTAACTTAAACAAATTTTTATAATCCTTTCATTATGTAAGAGAAAGAACAATAAAGGTTTCAACTTTTAACATTTTTAATTTATTCCAAATATTAAAAATTCATTTAAAAATATTTTTTATTTAAAATTCATTTATAAATGAAATTCACACTTTGAATTCGTTTATAGTATACAAAATGTAATAGAAAATTCTAATAATGTTTCTGAATTGATGAGCAATTTTGATAAGGAATTTATTAAATAGATTAGATGACTTTTCACACTTCAAAGTGGAAGTTTATATGGTTAAAACTTGAAGTTCAAATTTTCTTGAATTTTGTTTAGCTTTTTCTTTCTTTTCTGATTTACAGAGAAAATCAATTGATAAAATTTTATCCAATAAGGATAATCCTTCTTTTAACCCATTAAATTTATAAAAATTATTGTGGTCGAGATGACTTGAACTTAACCTTCCACTCCACATGAGTGGGAGACCATTAGTTAGTAATTATAGTGATATTGTTGTTAAAACATAAAATGCCTAATAAAAGTATTAATTGTTTTTATTTATAAATTATAGTGAGCATGAATATATATTTTAAAGTGTTTTATAGTAATTTTTAATAATTATTTATTATTTTAAAGTAATGATAAATAAAACTATCATATAAATATATTAATTTGAAAATATAATAATTTTAATAATTATTATTTTTATAAAATTAATATAATTGAGATATAACATTGATATAAATTAGCTACAACTGATATAAAATAAATAAATAAATAAGAATGGTTGATTTAGGACTTCCATTCTACCACCAACTATTAACTGTTAATTAAAATTTTTACCAATAACTCCTATCTTTTATTGCCAAACGCCCGTTAACGACAACCAAATGTTCCCGCCAAAAAGACCACTACTCTTCTCAAAACGCACCCGCTGTTTTTTCTGCTCCGCATGCCTCCCTCACCCAGCAGAGTTGGAAGGCCACAACTCTCTATTCTTGCAGACATATGCACCTCAATGATCCAAATCAAGCAAATCCATGCCCAAATGATTGTCACCTCTCGGATTTCTGACCACTTTGCTGCAAGCCGTTTACTCTCCTTTTGCGCTCTCTCTGATTCTGGTGATCTCAATTATGCAAAAAAAGTGTTCGAAAACATTCAGGATCCAAATATCTTTATGTGGAATACTCTCATTAGAGCTTTAGCGAATAGCGCATGTCCTAATCAAGCTGTGTTTCAGTATATACAAATGAGGAGATGTGGCATTTCTTCAAATGAACATACCTTCCCTTCTCTTCTCAAGGGATGTTGCAGCTCTTGTTCAATTGAAACTTGCAAGCAGGTGCATTCTCATGTTTTGAAATTTGGGTTGGAGTTGGATTTTCGTGTTGTTAATGGATTAGTAAGGGGCTACTGTGTTTCGAATTATTTGAGTGATGCTCGCAAATTGTTTGACGAATTTCCTGGGAGGAATTTGAGTATCTGGACTAGTATGATTACGGGGTATGCTCAAAATTTTTGTGCTAATGAAGCTTTATTATTGTTCGATCTAATGCTTGCAGAGGGGTTTGAACCGAATGGGCCCACAATTGCTTCCGTGTTGTCTGCTAGTGCTCGTTCAGGTTGTTTAGATTTGGGAGAGAAAATTCATGCTTTTATGCTGGAGAGAGGGATCGAAATGGGAGTGATTCTAGGCACTGCACTGGTGCATATGTATGCAAAAAATGGAGCAATTTCAATGGCTAAAAAATTGTTTGATTCAATGTATGAAAAAAATGTTGCTACTTGGAATGCAATGTTATGTGGTTTGGCTAGTAATGGACTGACTGAAGAAGCAATTGATCTTTTTAGGAAGCTAAAGAAAGAGCATATAGAGCCAAATGATGCAACCTTTGTTGGGGTTTTGTCCGCCTGCTGCCATGCTGGCTTGATTGACGTTGGTCATGAGATCTTTCATTCCATGAAGGAGGTGTACGGCATTGAGCCCAAGATTGAACATTACGGGTGCATGGTGGATCTTCTTGGGCGGGGTGGGAAGCTAGTTGAGGCTGAAGAGTTGATAAAGGAAATGACATGGAAAGCTGATGTTGTGATTTTGGGAGCCTTGTTAGCTGCTTGTAAAAATCATGGCAACATTGAGATTGCTGAAAGAATGGCAAAAAAGATTCTAGTCTTGGAACCTAATACTCATATGGTTTATGTTGTTTTGTGCAATATATATGCTGAGGCTGGGCAATGGCAAGATGTATCAAGGATTAGGAAAGTGATGAAAGCAGGTAATTTGAAGAAAACACCAGGGTGGAGCCTTGTGGATGGTAATAATTAAGTCTAGTTTCTCCTGTGAATGTATACCACAGATAAAATTACATGGCAAAATGGAGACATGGGCATGATTATAGGTACACATCTGTGCTGTGACTTACTTTGTTGTGGGAACTTTTTTCAGCCTGCCAATTCTGAAAGAATTGTTAGACATTTAATAGTGTTGTGGTTTACTGAACATTAGTTCTTTCAGTTTTGGAATTTGCTTTTATAATATATGAAAGCATTAGTTTGTCATGGTGTATATAGAAACCTCTTTGTCAGTTGCACCCATCGCATCATCATTACATCGAACCGCACTTGATTCTGGATAACAATATTGGCCCTTTATATTTTCTGGTTTGGCTCCAGGACAGTTGGCTGCATCTGCATTGTCAATTTCTGACTATGGGCATTGATAAAGTTGAAACTCTGGAAAGGGCACACAAGATGGCTTCAAAGCTGAGTTTGATTCTTTCGAGTGGCTTTGTTCAATGCTTGGCCTCTTTCTGTGTCATTTATCATGTCTTTCATCCCTTTTCATGTACTTAATTTGCCGAGTCTGACACCAAGAATAGTCGATCTCCCGTTCCTCGTAGCCATTTGCTTGTATTAACTCTTCAATCTTTTTGGTGCATGCCACTGATGCATAGATATGAGGCTAGGATCATGCAATGGAGAATTAGATCAAAATGCATAAAGTCCTCTTCCATGCATAATGTAAATGGTGAAGAACTGAGATCAATAACATGATGCTGCTCTTCCAGATGAAGATGATATTGGTAACTAATTAAGGAATCTGTTACCAATTGGGCTTGGCTGCAGAGCAGGGACAAGAAATCTCCTCAAACTGTTGAATGGAAAAGTGATGTCTACCACCATTGATGCACAAGCTCATTACTTGTCTGGTTGTCTCACATACAACCATAACCCTGCTAACCTTCAGACAAGTGGTCTAACTGTGATGTCCAAGTGGTAGAATAAAAAAAAAAAAAAAAGCTTTGTCCTACATGTATCCATAGTCCTGTTAACAATTAATGTTGTCTAATTGTTTTAGGCTTGTTGTTACCTGGTATATACATATACACTGGCAGTATACACATTTCATTTGACGCTTAGGTAGTTATGAAAAACTAGAAAATATTTTATGGTTTGTAGTAATGAAGGTGATAAATGAGGAACAGTAGGAGAGAATTTAGGTTTTAATATATATTAACCCAATAGTGAAATTTTAGGTATATGTATGGTTGAAACTAACTAGTCTCCGAGTTGGTAGGTTCAAAATGAAATCTGACCCTTGCATTTTAGTTTGAGTTGAGGAGGTAGACTAGTCAATAACAGTGGGCCGCTTCATTCATTAAGTACAACTTGCAGGAAACTTCATGGTCGGTGCAGTTTTGCTAATATATTAATCTTGGAAGTCAACAAAGTGAAGTCAACTACTTGAGCACATGAGGTACTATTATCAAACTCAGTCCTCGCTCTTCATCTTTCTCGATCAAGAAAAATGCATAAGGCAACAGTGGTTGTGCCACTCCTTTTCATCGGAGCAGTATTTGCAGGTTTAATCAGCAACACATTTTCTTCTTTCTTTTTTTTTTTTTTTTTTTTTTTTTTCAACGAGTGGTTGTGCCACTCCTTTTCATCGGAGCAGTAATTTGCAGGTTTAATCAGCAACACATTTTCTTCTTTCTTCTTTTTTTTTTTTTTTTTTTTTTCTTTTGTCTATGATTATTGTTACTGTATATTTTATATAATTATCTTAAAACTTTTTAACAGATCTTCTTGCAGTAACTCAGATTTTGAAACCTCCTCCATTGAAAATATACCGAAAAATTCAAAGCATCCCATTTCAGCTATTGAATCAAAACAACACCAACTATTCCAGGGATGGTCATTTGAAGGCGAACAGTACTTTGTACGTCAGCAGCTACAGATACTATAAAGCATTTGCAGGAAAATGACATGCTATACAATTGGGTCAAGATGGAAAGAATTAACCAAACTTTCGAAGTCTAGTGCTGATTATATTCATTACGCGTACTCACATTCTCACTTGCAACCTCAGGTGGTTCGAATTGTTCAAGCAATGTAGTGTTGGGTTGTGGCCAGCATCAAGATAGACCCTCTGTCTTCTTTTTTAAAAGCAGAAATTATGGGAAGGATAAAAATGGGAAGAGCTATGGTGTTTTACTTGGGCAGTTGGGAAACTGGAAGAAAAAATTAACCTTGTAAATTGAAAGGTGAAGCAACAGAATCTGATGGTAATGAAACATGTTGGCCTCTGATTGATAAGCTTCTTCTCAATCTATTGAAAACACTAAGTTCCGAGCAACGTAAGCATATTTCCCTGTCTACAACTATATTTATGGTTTATCAGCCCCTGTTAATCGTTAATATTCACCCTCTCCTATTTTTAAGTTAACTGAAATTGCTTGATGTAGTTTAGTTTCACTGCAGCTATTTTTTTTTTTTTTGTTCCAAAAAATAATATAAATTCGTTTCAATACTGTTCAATTTTCAGATGTGTGAAATGAATTCAGGATCTATGATGTTCTTTAATGGGTGCACAGAGTAACTGTATTGTTGAATGGAGGAATTTGAATTTGGCCCCCAGAATTCCAAAGCAACTCTGAGTGAGGGGATTCTACTTGATCCAGTACCTAACTCACTGTTCTATCTCCCTTAAAGAACCATTGGTCTATTACAGGATACAGTCAAATACTCACTAGACTCCCAAGAACTACTTTCGTCCCCGAGGGCAATGCTGCAAGTTGAAATAGTCTTCAAGGAGTTTCAGCAGGAAACAAGGCAGCATACTACACTCACAGAGGGTTCGTTACATATAATTTGGAGTTCAACTCTAGAAAGATGCCTAATGAACTCCTGTGAGGAATTTTTGTAGTTTGGCGCCCAGGCAGGTTTTGCAGCGCAGAACTTTACAACTGCTAAGAATTGGGACTGGTTTCTGCCACGAAGAAGAAGTCACTGGAATTTCAAGGCAGATTCAAGGTTTGCGCTTATCAGTTTTTTACGTTTTATTTACCAACGAAGGCGAGTGTGTTTGTGGTTGATGTTGATACTTGTTTTGCGTGCTTTTGGGATGTCTGCAATGAAGTGGGAAATTTTGTTTATCTGCTTTTTAGCAGTCTTTGTTTTACGGTTGGATTTATGCTGTATTGGATTTTTTGGTTAGCTGCTTCTAGCTGGTATCATGTTCTTTTTTTGGTTTTTGGTTAGCTAGTTTTGAGTGGTATTTATTGTTGAGAATTATTCTATTTTTACTTAGAAATGATGGTGAACTGGTTCTATTTTTCTTGAAAGAAATAACCACCAAAACCAATATAACTGATATTATCGTTCCCTCCAATTGCTTTAATGTATAAATAATAGAGAGTTTGAACGAGATTCAAAATTTCAATTTTCAATTCTATAAGAATATACACTATGAGTACTAACTTCCAACTTTTAAAAAGAAATATATGATTTGGTATTTCTCTTACTGTCAATCTATAGCACCGAGAATTATTGAAGTAATTCTTGGCAGATCCCAAATGCTAAGCAGACCCTCCCTCCTCTTTCTGTTCCTTATTGTCCTTGCAATTATTCGTTTGTTGCGTAATGCATAAAGAGAATAGCTTCGAGCATAATAAAGAGGAAAGCTGAACAAGCATCAAAAAGAAAGTCATAATCACATAAAGTAGGATATATAGCATACCATGGTATTTGGAGGTGTTGAATAATATACAAACCCAATCATAGGACATCTAGCCTAATCAATTCACGAAATTCACTTTTCAAGTTTGTTAACGAGATTTGCAAGAAATGTAATACAATAAATGCCTTTTTTATGAGCAATAATATGATGGGATCTAAGACTCTTCCAATGGAAATCCTTTTTTTTTTTTTTTTTCCTATTTGTAAGAAGGTTAGGGAGATCAAATAAAAGAACTAAATTTGGAAAAGCAAACATATAATATATTGTAACCTGCCTCTCAATTAATCTAAAACTTTAACCATCTCCAGGGCTAATGCTAAACATTCTGTACAGCATTCCTTTCTAAAGGCACGTTTCAGAAGGTTCTGTATTCCTCGACTTCTTGACCATTATCAATTCAATTTCACAGCACGTAGAACAGGCAAAGGGTGTAAAGTTGTCTTGTTTGAGCATTTCTGAAAAGCCTAGTTAAATTAGATGCAAATAAACTGATTATAAACCTGCTTTCCTTGTATTCTTTTAACAATGTTCCTCACCTTATGTACCATCCCATTGGACTTGAAGAGGCTTTGTTCAATAGAGGGCGAGCTTGTTCCAAGAATGCATCCACATTTAGTTGAATCTGCAACTGATGGGCTTCCCCCAGTAATTTCATCAACACAGAAGATGACCACCCTTTGTAGGACCATTAAGAGTAATTAGATAATGGGGAAAAAAAACAAAATTAGAAAGTAACAAAACTTTGTACTTCTAAATGAGGTATGCTCACCTTAGGGTTTCTTGGCGACAAGAAGGGCTGCACGGTCACAAAGTCAACTCTGCTGCTCGGAGCCAGCGAAATAATTGGTTCTTCCAAGCTCCCTGAGCATCAACTGACCCAAGTCCTGTGAAAAATATGGGCAGTTAGAAACCTTATGAATCAACATTACAATAAAAAGGACTATCTTATATAATTGTGGGCACTAGAAATATATAAGCTGCATATCAGTAGTAAAAATCGACATTCGACATTCTCAGGCAAAGGTTTGCTTGGGGCTTTTAGATGGCAGAAGGTTACTAGGAAAACCAGAAATAAGCTGATTAAAATTACTACTTGATAAATTACTTCCACACCATTTTGACTTAATGTTTTAAATAAAGGTCTTCACAGCACTTTGACCTTTGATTATCAATAACCTGGTTAGCCAAAACCTGAAGTACATCCAAATGTTTGTCAATATCGCACTTTTTGCAAAGTTCATCAATGTGACAAAAGAGTTGGATGGCCATCAGTAGGGCCTCACACAAAAAACCAGACAGATGACATTCATAATTACTATATCTCTTATTGCCTCACTCATAATATAAACTTCCCAGAAGTCTTATGAATAGTAAGAATATACTTTGTATTTCTCTAAACCTATAATAGCCCTAAGAACCATTGACATTAAAAAAGTTGGTGAGATTGAGTCTGCACTACTTTTTTCATATTTTGTAGCATGATTCTGATCAACCAATATTGTAGACAACAATATAGCCCAAGTTACCGCAACTAGAATTAAGAAAATAATAAATGCCTACCGGGTAAAAGTAATATGCTCGCAAGAGAAGAATATTGGCAAATGTGAGCCATACACCATGATCACAATTTTCAGATGTCCAACTCGTGAGCCAAACAGCCTATTTTAAGTTGAATGGCCAAAAAGTTAACAGTTTTTCATTCATCATTCAGGAAGATACACTGTTATGAAGACCAAGAAGTGCAGGAATTGGTTTGTACCAAATATGAAATATAGGCCATGATTTGCAATGCAAATTGGTTGTCTATAAACAAGAATAGTGCTTGCATATTTATTAAACATTTCAATTTGTAAAGGGGAGGACAAAAAACCAGATTCATTGGTAACTGCAAAGATGCTTTTGTGATTAAGAAACCTACTGTCAAACCGTGCAATTCCTTTATTGTTTCAACAGCTCCACTAGGCTGGTATTGGACAAACTACAAATGGCTTTTTCCCACTTATTGCCAAAGTATAATGCATTTGGTACAGGGACTTTGGCGTACATATAGATCAGGAGGCTCAAAGGTTCAGTATTTCCGCAGCCTCAGTCATCAACTGATGCAGTTCGTAAAAGGCTTGGTAAAAAGAACAGAACACCATTATAATGAGTTAGATATTGCATTTAAATTTCCAAGCAAGTTGGACTACCCATGATAAGGAAAACGGCACAAGCATGTGAAGATCAATATATTAAAGAACAATAACATCACGAAATGAACTTGATTTAAATCAGTTGCAGTTTGAATTATTAGAATAAGATTCAATATTTATGATATTTTTTGCTTAATTTGCTATTGTGGCTACTTTAGCAATGAATCTGAAGGATTGAAATCTATATTTCACTTGCAAACCAAAAAAAGTGATAACTTTGATGAGTATTCAAAAAAAGAAATTTGGATGTTGACACTTTAAAGTACATAATAATATCTAATTTTTTGTAAAGTAACAAACCTGATTCTTAAAAGAAACAAGAACTGGAAGTCCCCAATATTCTCAAAGGAAGCATGATTTGCTCAGTTCATAGATCCTGCAATAATAATTGAAAGAAACTCTTTAATACATAACCCCACAAAAAATAATAAGTCCAAAGACACCCCAACCAAGGAAACCATCCTTGTATCTGAAGTAGGAAATGACCAGGACAATGTTTAGAAGCATTTGCAATATCAAGACCAAGAATTTTAATAATAAATGGAAATACCTAAAGACGCCTTCCCTAAGCTCATTTAATCCTGGTAATTGCCCTCTAGCAGCGTATTCCCTGAAAAAAACAAAAGGAAATTAAATCCTAATCACATTGAGTACTCAGAATAAACAAAAGAAATAATAAACACATATGTTTAGCAAAGCTGCAAAAGTCTATGTTTGCTAATCATTTTTGTCATAATATAAGTAAAAGAAATTAGCTGCACACTAAGCAAAACTCATATAGTCTCAATTCTGCTCGGCAAATTTACTTTAGTCCACCAAAAATAACATAAATTCAATTAAAATATCCAATGGCAATTTTAGAAAAGCAAAAACAGAGGAAATATTTTTTGGCTTCACAACCATGCAGAAATTTTGTCGAGCAGCAAACATGAGCAATCATGGTTATAAATTAATAATAATAATAATATCTATCGCACCTGTCTGTCAAGAGGATGGCCTAAAATCATCAGCCAATCAAGATCGCGAAACACACAGCAGCTGCTCCTGCAATAAGAAAACCTAACTCCGCTGTTCTTCCTTTCCAGAGTTAAATCAAAACAGAAGCCCAAACCGGACCTCAAATTTATCTGAAATGTCCAAAGCTGAAACTGGAGAGGAAGAAAGTTTTCTTTGAGGCAGGCACAGAGAGGAGAGCGGCACAGAGCCATTGGAAGAAGCAGCAAAGCTCCGATTACCCGGCTTCCCTTCAGATTTTACTTAAATTAAAAATGAAATTGGGTGTGTGATTAGATTAACTGTTGACTCTAAGATTTTCGTTCTAACTAAAGCGTATACGATTTTGTGGTCCACAAAGCCGTACTTATGGCAACAGATTGGCGCCATTTCGTTTTCTGTTGACCAAGGCCGAAGATGACGTTTAACTAATATTTTTATTTAATGTTTTCCAATAATTTGGAAAAAAAATTGCTGAAAAAGATAATTAGAAAAAACTAATAAATATTATGATGAGTGAACTGGGTGAAGATAAAAAATATATTAAAAAACATTTTTTTTTTTTTTTTTGAAGCTGCTAAACATACGTGTTTATATTAAAAAAACTAGAAGATGACCCTTTTTATTAAGATTCCTAAAAAAAAAAAAAAAAAAAAAAAAAAAAAAAAAAAAAAAAAAAACCTTCTTTATCATTGGATATGCTTTCAGCGTTTTAGGAGAAATGAACAACGACGTCGGTTTTTTCGTATTTCACCAACCTTTGTACTGATTACGACGTCGTACTACCACCACGCAAACATGGTTATAAATCCTGAAGCTGCTTGATGATGTTAAGCCAGGCTAGTTGATTGCAGTTGCATCGATTTTCGCAGTAAGAATATTGACAACAAATGTTTAGTACTTATTTTTGTCCCTAATTATTTTCCCTTAATCCAATCAACCTCAAAGATCTTCCAGCTTAAATCGGTATTTTATTGGCCCATTTATCTGCTTTTTAATTTTTTATATTTTTTTTAAGGAGAATTCTGTGAATCGACCTCCATACGCCGGATGCAGCAGAAGGATCCAGGGAAAGAGCCATCAACTTCAGAAATCATCAACATTAAGGTTCGTTTCATCTTTTCCTTTTTGGCTGTGAAATCTTTCGAATAAAAATTTTTTGATTTTTTCTTTTTCTTTTTTTTTCTTGGCTGCTTCAGTTGAATTGAGAGTGGAGAAAAGGAGCGATTTGATGGAACTTTTTAAAGGGAAAGGCTCATAGAGTGTGGATTGGAAAGATGAAATGAAAGCTCTTTGCAGGTTCTTTTTGCAGCTTTTTTTTTTTTGTTCTTTGTTTATTTACATCTTCAATTCTCCCACATGATGGAATGGAATTGAACTTTTTTTTGTAGTCTGTTTCTTGATTTCATTCTTTATTCTTGCTTCTTGACATTGATTTGCTAAATTGCCTATTACTATATGCATATGTTGTGATAAGAAATCTTGTTATAATTAGTTGGAATTAGAGTGTTTTATTGTATGGTATTAGCTGTGTGGAGATTGGAGTAATTAGATACTAGAATTTGAGGTTTATACAACAACTTGACTTCCTCTCAATTGTTTTAAGTACATAGGTCTACTTGATTCAACTATGTAAATTTTTATTTTTTATTTTTTGTCAACAACTACATACCACGTCAGTTGCCTGGCATTGGTGAAACTAGCATTTTGAAGGCTTAGGATTGAATCTAATTTTTGTTCAAAATAAGAATGTGGGAAATATTGTTCAAGACTATTAGAAATAAGGTGATAATCAGGAACAGCAATGAAGTTTTTGAGGGGGATATAAATAAAACATACAGTTGCAACTATTAACATTTTGAGAAATTCCGTTTGTGGAAGAAGTTCAATGTAATGGGGACTGCATGTATTTAGCAAACTTGCCAAGTAGTGGGTAGAGTTCCCATTCTAAGTTGTGCTGTAATTCCTTTAGCTTCCTCTGGAGTTGCATGGTTTATTTCCTACGGATCATTGGTCTGATGGTATTTGTGTTTGGAATTAAAAATTAGATAAATCGATGAAGTGTCAATTCTGGCCTAAGGCCAATGTTACAAGAGAGATACAATAGTGTATATCCCCAATTCAATTCTTGAAGATTTGACTTTGAATGGTGATCTTGGGCTAATTTGATAAAGGTGGAACCACTCATAAGCAAAGGATTTGACCTTCAATCCTTCTTTAGTTGATTTTGGAGGATTATAACAAATAAAGCCCGAAGGATTACAGTTTTCAATCTGTAGGCTTTCAGGTTTTTTGCAGTGGAACTCTTACCTTTTTCATCTTTTTTAATTGAAAATCTTTAGAAGGTATGCTCTTATATTTTTATTTTACATTTTACATTTGCTTTTCCCCCATAGTCTGACTTGACTGTATTAATCAAATGCATACTTTTCCAGTTTCCTTACCCTTGCCAAATAACAGAAATATTGGATTTTCCTTGCATGTTTAGTGGGTTGACCGGTTTTTTTTTTTTTCTGTTTGCATGGTTTCTTAACGTTATTCATTTTCTTGCCTTGCAATTTATAGAATGATGGATTATCTTCACAGAATTGATGATTAGTGGGTTTTTTACGTTTTGGAAACTACTCTTGGATTGATCTTACTTAGGGCATTTATAAAGAAGAAAGGGAGGAACAATGTCAACTGGTAGGATGAACCTTGTACATGTTATACCCCAAGGGCAGAGGTTGTAATTTCTTCTTTCTTTCTGCTAATATTTTCTACTTTGGGTATTTTTTTTTTTTTTTTTTCTCCCTGCTTTTGGTCACATTTGTCTATGGAAAGTCTGAAAACTTTGTCATAGTTTTGCCCATGTAGCCTCTATTCCTGAAATTCCATAAAGGCTGAGCTGTACAAAGATTCGTTGCTTTTCTTGTTCAAGCTGCTGTTTGATAAACCAGTCTCCGTGTGTGTTGTGTAGCCAAAAACTAAGAACCATTAATATGAATGGAGCATTGTTCAGCATATCATTAGATTTCACTACCACAATTATCTTAAGGAATGGAGGTAACTGGAATTTTATATTGTGGGCTGCAAAACCAAAGGGATTTGAAAATCATGCTGCTATGGCAGGAAGAAATTTTCGCCTGTTTTTATGGTATCTCAAAGCTCAGTTTGGGTTCAATGTAATATTTTCTTAAACAGTCACTCCATTTTCGCCATTGTTTTTCTGTTCTATTCTGTTTGGTTCAAGTACCTCCGTACGATTTGCTTGCTCTGTAATGAATTTGTAACTTGATAATGAAGAGGAAGTTTCCTTGGATTTGTCTGATTATATCATTGAATAGCAGTACTGCTGAGATAATTATATTTTGTTTATTTTGGAGTCGTAAAAATAAACAAAAAGCTTAGGCTCCAGTAGTTTATTGGAAATTGAAATATAATTATCTTGGAAGTATTTCTTCTTGTTAAATTGACAAACATTAAAGATTTGTCCTAGATAGATTTTTTTTTGATATTAACAAACTTAATTATAATTACAATAAATACATATTTGTTAATTCACTCAATCATACAAATTTATTATAAATTACATAAAATACATATTTATTATTCCACTAATCATAAAGTCATAATACTAATCCATATTGGTCACGAATAAACAAGCCATCGTTATGGGTTAGGGCGTACTAACAACAATTTATTCGCTTATATAATATGTAAAATAGATTTAAAATATAAATTTTTATAAATTTTAAATTTTTTTTTAATTAATCACATTTAAATTAAACGTTTAACATTTTTTTAACTAATTTAACAATAGAAATATAAACAGAGGCTTAAGAGAGTTAAAACCCCAAAACACTTGAAAAGCGGCCAATAAATTACCTTGGATGATTAAGAGAGCTTCATTTCAGAAGGCAACCTATATAGAGAAAGTTCAGAGATTCAAATTTACTCAAAAACTACCCTAATGG